ATGTACTTCATTTTCTGAGAAACCAGGCCGCCTGAGAGGTAGGTCTCTTCGTAGCTAACGATGGTGACTCTCTGGCCATTGAGTAGTTCTTTGGCCAAAATCGATGATAATCGGCCAAGCATATGGCGAGCATCCACCACCACCTCCCGTGCGTAAATTCCCGATCCCGACACCATTTTCTCACCTCTCTCACTTTCTCTCTTACGCCTCTCTTCTCTCCAATCTCAACAAGATGGAGTGGATGTGTGTATGGAATTACGGTTACGATGTTAGGGGTGTTGGTGTTAGGATCAGGGGTGTTGGTGTTAGGATCAGCATATTCTATAGCAACAGATCAGCCTTTCCGGTTTCCATCCACCTTCACGTTTGTTATTAGGGCATTTTCCACTCATGAAGGTCACCTTTCCCTCCTCCCTCCCCCTAATTATACATGTATATATATGTATGTACGTGTGTGTATAACTATATATATACGTATTGTTTGTTTGGTTTTATGTATGTATCTATATTTACATACAAACACATATATTGAATTGAATCCCAGACCTCTCACTTATTTTGCAAAGATACCTGCTAGGGTAACCTCATGTTAAACTCATATACGCTGATCAACTTCCAACCTCATTACTTGTAATTATGTCTCCTTCCAGGAATTGGCTATTTACTCATTCCAAATTTTTCATTCGTCAAGATTGCTGCACCTTATGCACATGTTATATATCTTTGTGTGATACAGTAATCATATAAGTTTCAACAAAAACAGATTATTGAGTCCCTTCGAGATTAGATTTTTAATTATCCGAGTCGCTTATAGGAGCTGATAGATCTCAAACAACAGCGGCGCAGTGGAACACAAATTGTCATTAAGGGTTAATATATCAAGAACCATCTGGATGAGGAAAGTTCATGGCGGCTGTTAAGTTGATCGATGATGTAAGAAGAGATGAGTCGATGATACCTGGAGAGCGATGGCTTAGCGATAGCAGCAACAGCAGGTCCAACCTCTAGAAAATAGTTGGAGAGAATATAAGACAAAAGAGTTATGCATATTATGGGTTATATTTCTTAAYTCCTTACCATGAAGTAAACTCGGCAGTAAATAGCATTGATGAAGGTTACATATTATGGGTTTATATTTATTAGATAGAAGGTGAGACCTAGAATCCTAGATGGAAGAGGCTGCTGCAGCATTGCATTGCATTGAAATAAAGGCATATGTATATGTATGCATTGCAGCAGGCTGCTGTTGCAGCATGCCATTGTTGATGGAGGAACCATATTTTACTACTACACACTTTAGTAATTATATCCRTTAAGATGATGTGGTTTTAATCGTAAAGAAGACGAAGGAGAATCRGACAAGTTAGGCATTTTTACAAACACCTGGCATACAAGCTGTGATGATAGGCTTATATGCATAGGCAAAACACAAATAGAACAAAGTAGGCAAAACAACAAAATCGAAATCCCAGTTCATATGGTAAGCAAACGGTAAAATTCACAAAACCAAAACACATAAATTTTAATAACAACCAAACAACATATAAATCTATTTCCAAGAATACAAACCACACACAGTGTTCAAATTTTCAAAGCGATATAAAAGAGGATTCTTACCTATAACTTGTAAATAGCATGGGGCTTCCTTCATCGATCGTTAAACCAGAAAGAAGATAGAAAGCTATAATCTCATCAGAAGTGGTTACATAAATCAAAATTTAAATAGAGCATACCAAAATGAAGAGCATACCTCCAAATTCTTGGGTTTTGAAGAACCTGTGAAATTAAATCAACAGGGAGGAGGAAGCTGTATGTATCAATGAGGCTTTGATACATCAAATCCCTTTGATACATGAAATCGGTTCTCTGATCGAGGTGATACATCCACACCACCATTGTTATGCCAAATGAGGTCTGTGAAGAAGAAAGACCTTTGCTTTCTAACCCAAAATGTTGTTGGTCGCAGAGAAAGGATACATAAGAGAAGAAATTTTTTGGTCTAGGTGGTCGCAGAGGTAGGAGAAAGAAGAGGAAGAAACCGGAAGAAGAAATCGGCCCAAAATGGGTAATTTTTGGTGTTTGAAAATCATTGCATAAACAACTTGTACATTATGCATAATAATTTGTAATTAAGAGTTTTTTAAATTTGTTGTATAAAATAATGGTACCCTAAGCTTTATGACTTGTACTTAAGATATAGGTCTAAATGCTTATATATGTAGTATAGACTAGTGGTATACCCGCGCGATGCAGCGCGGGTGAATCACAATTCTGAAACATTAGTTTATCCTTGAATTATAAGTTTGTGTGGTTATTTTGCAAGTCAACTAATATATAAAATTGAAGGTTAATACGATTTATTAACAAGATCGAATGGAAAAATAATTGCACACGTATTGGGTTTCTAAACCCATATACTCAGAACTCATAACAAAAATTTGAATTTAAATTTAGTTGAAGTCTGAGAAAACCTCCAAAAGCTGAGACCRTGAAACATTTTTGAGAAGATGTTTTATCAGGTCTAAAGCTAAAAAGGGGAGGAAATATAGATGAAAGGAATAAAGCAAAACTAAGACTTTCGGTTTGGGTGATATTGATGGTGTTGTATTAAAAACTTGTACATCATGCTTTATGAGTTGTAATTAAAAGATTTTTGAAATTTTTGCATAAAATGATTGTACCTTATGCTTAAATACTTGTACTTAAGACTTTGGTTTAAATGCTTGTTATTATGTTTGT